GAGGACGACGACGACGACGACGACAACGACGAGGACGACGTTCTGTGTCTCGTAATCGTTGGTGTTATGCGTTGATGGTGTATGTGTGTCTACGAAACAAGAATAGCGTCGTACCCGGTAGCATCGTCATTAATGTGGTGGTGTGTAGTAATAGTAGTGGTGGTAGGTGGTGATAGCAATAGATGAGTTGGACAGAGACAGAGAAAGAGAAAGTTATAGAAAGAAAGAGAGAAAAGACTAGTGGGGTTGATTGTAAACGTCACACTTTGCAGAAACGCACGCGTTTTGTTGGTGCTTTTATCTTAATCTCTGTGTACAAAGTTAAAAATAATCCAAACTATGAAAATATTCGAGTATGATTAAAAAAATTAATTCGTTTTTAATGGTTAATTTAACATTGTCACGTACGATCGTTGGATTTTGCACTAAACGGCTTACTTCGGGTTAATACGGATCTCTCGTGTCATCATTCATCTAAAGAATATCTTTTTCTTTTAACTGTCACATAAACACACGTGCACGTTCCAGATTAGTGTCTTCTTCATTTCGCGAAAGTAACTTATTCAAAGCGTACGATTTATCATGTAATATGGTCGATTATATATATTATTATATATATTATATATCTGTGTATACGTGATATATATATATATATAGATATTTGGTGGAGTGCGCGCGTCCGACAAAATGGTGTGTACTTTTGGACGGAAGGGGTAGTTTTCACGTGGATCTCATACGCGTCGAAGGGGTTGACAGACGTGGACGCGTGGAAGAAGGGACGATTCCCCTCTAGGAAAGTGCGCAGGTACGGGAGGGAGAACATTTGGAAGGTGGTGGGAGAAGTAGTGGTGGAGGTGGTGGTTGTGGTGGCGGTGATGGTGATTCTCCTCCGTATATGATTTTCCCCTATGGAAAGAGACCGTATGTGAAGAGAAAGAGAGGGGTGAAAAGAGAAAGAGAGTAGGACAGAGTGTATAGACTCGCACCTGGACCAAGAGGAACGGAACGGAATAGCACGGCACGCGCGGGTAACGCCGTCACAAGACTCGAGAACAGTTGGTGTAGAATAGACCAGGTGGTAGTGGTGTGGTGGTGGTGGTGGTGGTGTGTGTTGCTAGAGGAAAGGGGCGGAGCGGAAGGACCCTAAGGGTACCGGTTGGCATCGAGTACTCTCACCGGTACTGTCTCAAAGGTGAAAGAGAGAGAGAGAGTTAGCAGCAAAGAAGCACCTCGCTCTCTCTTTCTTTCCTTGTCAGTCTCTTGATCGTATTATATTTAAGAGTTTGGAATAAGCATAGCCGGTGCCGGTACTACTGCTAGGGAGCGTAGCGTATTCACACTCTTTCTCTCGACCGGCGAAACGTGCGCGCGCGTTTTCACTCGCTCCGCATTTGTCATGGGCGCACGGTGGATGCCGCTGTTGTGGTACCATCGGATCTCTATGCCGATCCGTTGTGGCGAATTGTCGACAGAAATTCTATCAGCAGGAACATCAACAGCGCCGTCTTCATTGTCTAACAGAATTAACCTTTTCTTCGGTGGCGCGACGTTCGAGTTGTCTTCAAAATTTATTAAGGTGTTAGAGGCAAGAGTAGGATCCTTGAAAGGTTTCCAAGGTGTCACTTGTTCGGCTGATCAGTGACGACGAGAAGATCGGTGACGAAGCACGTTTCGGGTTTAACGTAATAGGAGAACAACGGTTAGTTCGTGCGTGCGTGCGTGCGTGCATGCGTGCGTGCTTGGACACGTAATTGTGAAAGACGAGGAGAAGGAGAAGAGTAGGAAAAGAAGGGGAAGAAACAGGGGAGAAAGGTGTAAAAGCAAAGAATACGTGGTGAATTCGAAAAATTCCGGTTGCCTTGAGTGCACGCGGTGTGTTTAATCACGACAGCGAGCGAGTGCGCGCTTACCCGAACTAGATGTGCGTAAATGGAAGGTATAGGGGACATAGCCGATCATCAATCGCATAGCGAGCAATTACTGGACTCGGTCGATTCCCCGGCGGCGGTCTCTACGCATGGCCGCAGCGGCAGTGGGGGTGGCTCGAATGGAAATTGTGGTGGTGGTGGTGGAAGAGGTGGAGGAGGAGAAGGTGGTAGGGGAAGTATTCTTGGTGGGGGCAGACACCATCACCATCATCATCACCAGCACCATCATCACCATCTCCACCAACAACAGCAGCAGCAACAACAACAACAACAACAACAACACCACCATCACCATCCTCACCACCACCATCAGCAACACCACGAGGTTAACGAAATTGGAGGTGGTAGAAGCGGCGGTAGTAACGGTGGAGGTGGTAGCATCGAGGGTATGTCATCGTCGGCTTCTCAAAGTCCCGACATCGCGTGCGCGAGCATACCGATCGAATTGCTCAGGGCTGGCGCGCTCGACGTTAAAGAAGAACGAGATCTCGTCGCCGCGGAAGATCTCTCGTCGTCTCAGGAAGGGCCCACGATCGGTAGCGGAGGCGGTGGTAACGGAAACAGTGTTGGTGGTGCCGGTGTTGGTGGTGCTGGTGGTGGTGTTGCTGGTGGTGGCGGCAACAACAGTGGTGGTGGTGGTAGTGGCAGTGGAGGCGGTAGTAGTGGTAGTGGCGGTGGTGGTAGTGTCGTCGTTGTTGGTGGCAGTGGAGGTGGTGGTGGAGGCGGTAGTGGTAGTACCGGCGGTGGCGGCGGCGGTGGTAGCAGCAGCAGCAGCAGCAGCACCAGCAGCACCAGCAGTACCAGCAGCGGTGGAGGTGCCATCGGTGGTGGCGGTGACGGCGGCGGTGGTGGCGGCGGCGCCGTCGACAGCGGTGGTGGTGGTGCCGGTGGTGGTGGTAGACAGAGTAACGCGAGGGAGTCCCTGTCGGTGATCGTGCCACCTCAGGACGTGGACGTGGACTCGCGCGACGACGCCGACGACTCGGAGCTCCTCAGTCCGGGCAAGCTAACGCCGACATCGGGGATAAGCGTCTCGGTCGCGAGTATGATCGACGCGACGGACTTCAGGGCGATGCAACCGGAGCCGACTTATCAAACGTTGACGTCGGTTACCGAAAGAATGTCGCCGCCTGGCTTCAGCCCGGGCTCCTCGTACGCGACGCTTACGCCGTTGCAACCGTTGCCGCCGATTTCAACGATGAGCGACAAGTTCGTGTACGGTCACACGACCGGCGGGGTAACCGGTAGCTTTGCAGTTATGCAGAACAATGGCCTCGGTAACATCGGCCTCGGTATGGGCGGCTCGCCATACGCGTACGACAAGATACCTTCGATGGGAATGTCGCCACCGCACAATTATCCCTCGCCCGGTGCGGGCCTACAACCGAGTCCTCTCTCGCCCCAGAGCGCTTACAGCCAAAGCGCCCTTAATTCGCCGCACAAGTCCGCGAGTCCGCACTACGATCAAGCTTTCCTACCGAGGCTGCAACAGAGTCCCGCCGCTCTTAGCCCGTCTTCGCCGCCGGCCGTCTCGGCGACCGCCACTTTCGCGCCCTCGCATCATTCCCCGCCCGCGCACTCTGTGCCGGCGGCCTCGCCCCCGCCCATACAAACACAGCTTCAGCAACAACAACAGCAGCAACAGCAACAGCAACAGCAGCAACAGCAGCAACAACAACAGCAGCAACAGCAACAGCAACAACAACAGCAACAGCAACAATCGTTAGCGGCGCAACAGACTATATCGCACACTCAACACGTGCAACACACGTCGGTCGTCATGAAGACGGTCTCTTCGGCCGGCCACGGTGCTGGCGAGGTCGAGGAGATCAACACGAAGGAATTGGCACAAAGGATCAGCGCCGAGCTCAAGAGGTACAGCATACCCCAGGCGATATTCGCCCAGAGGGTATTATGCCGTAGTCAGGGAACGCTCAGTGATCTTCTACGTAATCCAAAACCCTGGTCGAAACTCAAGAGCGGCCGGGAAACGTTTCGACGAATGTGGAAGTGGTTGCAGGAGCCGGAGTTTCAAAGAATGTCGGCCTTGCGGCTAGCAGGTTAGTCTTCACCTGGAATATCCCGACTTCATCGTCCCACCTTGTCTCTTGTCTTCTTTTAGCGTCGCGTCGGATTTCTTCTATTTATCGCGGTTACCTCGCGGTACACGATTACGCGGGCAACGATTCGCGTTATCGCGACTTCTCGATATCTATTTTCTTTCCTTTCTTTTTCTTTTCTTTCTTTATTATTCACTATGCAACATTTCGCCCTTCGTAGGAGTCTAAACGTTAAACAAACTATCAACCTATGCTTTCTACATGTTCGAGGGTTCATCTTACGACTCTGTAAAAGATAGAACAAAAATATAAAAATATCATTGAAATGGTTCAACATGTGTACTATAATCCATCGTCCACTAGATGAAATTCTCATCGCTTATAGTGCTAATCTTGTGTTGTTGTTCTTGTGTTAAAAGAAAGAAGACTAGACTTTTGTTTGTGTCCGAGTGTCCATTTCGATGAAGGAAGTAGTCGAAATGAAACTGTTGACGTTAACATTTGAAATTTGCACGGGGTTAGATTCGGATGTGCAGGGGGTAGTTGAGGTTTAAAGGGGGAGGGGGCGCGTGGATGCGCGGAGAGACGTGGCGGAAGCGCACACGTGGTATCCACGTGGAGAGGCGTTCCCTTCCATATCATTCAGAGATAGACGCGCGAAATAACACTTTTCGAATTCAACATCCTTTGCCCCGACACAACACACAGCGCGTAGAGATTATTGATCGCGGTCACGCGGTATTATCGTAATCGCGCAAACGCGACCTCGACGGCTTTCCTGAGGGACGCCATGTTGGCCATGCCGCCACCACGCTGTCGTCATCCCCTCTTTTCCTCGTGCAAAGCGCACCTTGACGACCGTCCTCTAGCCGTCCTCCTTATCTGCTGCGCGCGACTTCCTCTACTCACTCTGGGTACGACGTATGCATCAAGATAGAGAGAAAGAGACAAAGAGAAAGAGTTCTCGTGTTGTTGGCTACTTACATGGATATGTATATATGCATATAGTATACCAGTAGCTATTTCCTCACAGTTACACATTCAACCCTGACGCGATTTTGTCTTATCCGTATTACTTCCTTCTTCCAGGTTTGCCATCATCATCATCATCATTATCATCATCATCATTTTGCTTTTCTATTTTTATTTTTTACTATCTCTTTTTTACGCCTTCTTCTTATAATAGGAATAATATTAGGATTCTCGAGGTTACAATTCGCTAGGTGATGAATCGGTTTTATAGAGAGAGAACAAACTATGCTATACTTGTATTAGTTTGCCTTGCGTGTCCGTTTTCTTCTAACCCTCGACCTTCCGTATTTTTATTTGCTCTATGAGTGTGGTATATATGAAGGTAACGTGTCGGAAACGAGAAATAGAGCGAGTGAGCGAGAGAGATTGAGAAGAGGCATGTGGTAACTATTCTACATCTAGTTCGAACCCTTCGTAGATAGAATAGAATTGTCTAAGGGCCGTATAAAGAGTGGGATGAGTCGTGGGGATCGAAGAAAAGATGACAGTAGTAAAGGGCCGACCTGAACAAGACAATGCCAAAAAAGAAGAAGAAAAAGTACAAGAAAAAGAAGAAGAAAAAGAAAAAGAGAAGGAAGGGTTCGATCCAGTGCCCTTGAGATTAGAATTTTCCATTGTTTCCTCGTTCGCTCGTTTCAAAGTCTCTCCGCGTTGTTTCGTTTAAAGCGGAGGGTATGTATGTACAAAAGAAAAAAGATAGATATATAATAGATGAAAGAGAAATAGAGAGAAGGAGAGAGAGAGAGAGAGAGAGAGAGAGAGAGAGAGAGAGAGAAAGCACAGTTTCACGCAAGAATACGCGTATAAAATACATGTACAGTGAGTGTCACTTAAAATCGTACACTGTTACGCTTATTAGATTTTTGCTTTATGGTTTTTTTATGAATATGTCTTATAATACACGGCGTATAATGCGTTTGTTTTGTTCTAACTAAAAAGAGAGAGAAAGAAAGAGAAAGGATAAAAAAAAATGATATTCGTTCAATGGCCTACAACAAATATTGATTCGTGTTCGATAACGTTCAATAGTATTTTTTCATCGAAGCAGTATAAACGTTTTGTAAAATTCGTCGACAAATATTTTCATCGTATAGATATGTACATATAGTATTGTATAAATATACATATATACATGTAGTATATAAAGAGAATAATTAGTTTTTATAGGAGATGGAGTTTTGATGGGGTGGAAGGGATGAATACAAGCGGATCAATCGACGTCGTTGACGATGCACTTTTGTAAATTACCTTCCTCTGTGTTACCTGTTTCTCGTTCCTGTTGAAATTCATCTAGTAATGACCATCGTTCGCGTACCCACATCGTTCTCGCATTTAATTGCGTTTACGCTGATTATCGATCGTCGAACTGGGTCATAAGGTACGTGAGAGTAACGAAGGAACGGGTCGAAGAGGTGCATTCGTTCAAGTGTTTTCAGGATCGCCTTGAAACTCCCTCGTGCAAAAGATGATTCTCGATTATTTCTTTTTAATCGAGACTCGATCGCCATCGCTTCTTTACTAGGCTCGCGATAAGGATCATCTATGCGACAATTTTTACTTTCTTTTTCTTTTTTTTCTAATTAGTATGTACACTTAATTACGTATTAATTGAGCCAAGTTATGCAGAAATCTCAACTATCTATCAAAATGATAAATAATTATTTTAATGCTCCATAGATAACTTCATTTCGTATAAAAATGATCGAATAACTCTCATATATTATTCAAATTACCGATTAATTATACAACTCAGTATTATATAAACCACTTAAGAAATATTTAGAAATACTAACAAATAGAAGCTATTTCTTTTTTTTTTTTTTTAAATAAAAATCTTCATAGAGTAAATTAATTTAATGTCAGATCATTGAGAATTAGTAGCTTTGAACATAACTTGGCCAAATTGTTCGTGTGTTCGTGTAATTCAAATTCCAAGGTGGAAACTCGTCTAAGTAGTTTTAGAATCGATCGATCGTGGTAGGAAAAATTTCATTTTTAAAAGCTTGTAACACTATCGTCATGCATAACAAGGATTATTAATACGCGATATAAATATTTAATTTGAAAGGTGGAATCTTATCGGACGAACTTTTTTCTCTCTCTCCTCTATATATATATATATTGCTTCCTGTTTAGAAACTTAATATATTGGTTATTGGATATCAGATATTGAAAATCAGATGGCAGAATATTCTCTAGGACATTGACTTTTTTTTCTTTTTCTTTTTCCCCCTGTTCTTTTTTTATTTATATTTTTTTAAATTTTATATCGAAAGTATCACGTGAAAGATTAGAAGTAAAAATGGTGATCCACTTACGAAAGCAAGTATATATACATTATATATATATATATGTACGTACATATATACTGGCGGATTTTAGTATACAAAATTTACCTGCTTTTCGAGGAGTCGAGAACAAGAGTGAAAAGAAGGCAGAGAATAGTTTGAGAGAAAGAGATAGGTGGTAAGTGCTTACGGTTATACTCGGGATGACGTCAGCACCCCTCGTGCTACCCACATCATCTGTCGCGATCGGTGGAAGAGAGAGATAGAAAAAGAAAGAATGAGTAAAACATATGTAGAGAAAGAGAGAGAGAGAGAGAGAGAAAGAAAGAAGAGAAAAAAGAAGAGACGTTCAAAGAATTCAGAAGGTTTCTAAGTAATTGTCAACGGACCCCACTTCAAGGGTGTCTTTGGCTAGCGAGAAGTCCCCATAGTGCTAGCTTCTGTTTCTCTTCTTTTATTTTTTTTACCCTCATCGTTTCATTCATTTTATAACATTTTTTTTTCTTTTCTTTTTAATTTTTTACTTTTATTCTGTTATATTTTTTTTTTTTTCATCGAAGTTGATTTACATTTTCGGAAGAACGCAACGAAAGTTCCCAATGGATTGAAAAAATGATGATAGTTTTTTTTTTTTTGCATTTTTCTTCTTTCTGTTTTGTTTTCCTCCAATCCAATGAAATTTCACTGCTATTTATTTGGTCAGAGTGTGTAGGTTTTAGGTCAGTATTTTGTAATAAAAATAATTGGTCAGTAAAGATGAATAGTTTGTTCAATATGGATAATTATTTGTCAGTATTTATAATAAGGATAGGATTGCTTTGAAATGATTACAAAATATTGACTTAATCAATAGCAGTCATAAATTTTCATTTCTTTCTTATTTTCTTTGAAAAATCAATAAATATAATAGTAAATTTTTCGAAGAAGTGACAAATTTCGAGGAAGCTAAGGGGCTCAGACGTGCACGAAACAATAGGAAATACTTGGTCGTGTTCGGTGAAGGGAAGTTACATTGTGTATCGTGAAGACAAACAGAATCCATGGTTACCAGTGTTTATTTCATGGCGTTGCCAGAGTGTTCGTTCAAACCGTAGATACCATTTGTAGCGAAAGGGGATATCTCCTTCAAATTCTTCATTGTCGTTACTGTCCTCGACATTTTCGTATTCGTATATATTTCTTTCTTAATAATTAAATAAACTTATTTTTTGGATTATTCAAAAATAAATCTTTATCTTTCATTCAAATGAAATAGGAACTGTCGTATTTAGAGATAAGATATAACATTATGATTTTGTTTAAATAATGAAATTTTAATATATATATGTTTTATTTATTTTTTTTTATAAAAATAGAAAGACAATATTTACTTTTTATATTAAAGGATTGCTCGATCGAGTCTTGTAACGTAATTTTTCTGAAATAACCAATTTTTTTGAAATGACTTTGATTCGTAAAAGTAATCAACGATATTTAATTTTTCTTGAATATTTTTTCAAGAACTCGTTCGATGTTCAATTTACGAATGAATTTTTTCAATTTTACAATCGTTCGTAGTAAAGTCCTTTGATGGCAGTCGATGTTCAATTTACGATTTAATTTTTTCCATCTAATGGCCGTTCACGATAGAAGAAGAGAAAGAAAGAAAGAGAAAAAGAGAAAGAGAAAGAGAAAGAGAAAGAGAAAGAGAAAGAGAAAGAGAGAAAGAGAGAAAAAAGAAGAACGGGAAATCCGTACGCGTGTATTTTGGTACAATCGTACACCGTTGGGAGGGAAACGCAATTTAGGTCAAAACGAAGCACGGTAAATGGTGGGTACAGTTTGTTTCGAATCCACGAGGACGAAGGGGATTCGAGGGAGCAGATGTCATATCGATGAACACCTTTACTATCACAGCTGTTTCATCGGAATGTTTCTTTGCGAGGATATCGAAAGTAACAGCTAAATGTTCTTGAACATACTTGGGAAATATCCTTCATTGTCATGGTCCACTTCTTGCTTTGCAATTAATTACCTACCTTTACTCCCATTTTTATGTTACGAACAATTTTTTCTTTTAATTTTTCATTTTTTACTTTAACATCCTCTACAATTTGTCCATTGTGGACATTCCATGTGTAGTATTGTATAAGCTTATGTTGCGACTTACGAAAAATAGGAAAGAAAATAGTAATACAATGGGAGAGAGAAAGAGATAGTATGAGAAATGGAGGGACAAAATTTCATTAGCAGCTAATTGCTTGATTTTTCTTTAGAGTTAGAAACATTATTTAATAAATTAGTAGAAAGAAATGTTTAATTAATTATTACTTTATATTTAAAATAAAAAGAAATTATTCGGGAAAGAGTTTTTAATACGTTCCTGATCATTACTGCAAAGAAACTCCTTTAGGATAGAGGATACTTATTGCTACACGAGTGAAATTAAACTTCGTTTTAGATCGTTGATAAAGGAAAGGTGACACTGGAATGGAATGTTCCGTGATAAAACGCAATACCTTTTCTCTTTCTCTCTTTCTCTCTCTTTCGTTTTCTATTCAGACGGTAACGTTACTCGTTGTTGTGCACATTATCGCGAACACGATGTAGTAGAAACAATAATTGTATCAAGTATAGTTCGTTTGAACATCATTAACCATAACTTTCTCGTAATCTTCTTGGTAATAAAAAATGAATCAGAGAAAAAGCAAGACTTCGTTAATGATTTGTCCGGTTTTTCTTTTTTTCTTTTCAAGCTGTTTTTTTTATTATATTTTTATTTAATTTTTGTATCATTTGATATTTGTTGCACGAAATCCGATAAAAAAGGGGTATCAAGAGATTAAAAATTGGATTATTTTTTGACCATATGTGCGAACATTTGCTTGGAAATCTTTGAGAAACGAATAACTCGTATTTATGAATATATTCATATAAAACGAGTGTATTATATGTACATATATCAATGTATATATATATATTTATATATACGTGTAAAATACTACAGGATTTAAAATATGCATATATTTGATAGGTGCATTCTAGTAAGTGTATTGGAAAACGTAGAACGCATACAAGGTGTTTCCAAATATGTGAGCTTAACTTCAGGGGTGGTTTCAATACGGTAAAATAAGAAAAAAATGTCATATAATTATACGTACGAAATGACCATTTTTTCATTATCATTTCTTACTTTTGTTATAACTTTTTAATTGAACATTTAGGAGCCTATGTTTGTATACAATTTTTTTAATTTTTTTTTTCTTATATAATAGAATATGGTGGTAGTATTTAACGGAAACAAACTGGGACACCCTGTGTATAGATATCTATGTGAACAATGTATACATAGTATGCGTTTTGTGATTCCGTGTTAGTAATTGTTTTAACGAATACAGGATCTCCCGTATATGAATATTTTACGCGTAGCATATCTTGCGAAAAAAATCTATTCAATTCGCGAGCACGTTTTAAAGAATATAATATATTAATAAAATGTTTTTACAATATTTTCGTATATATATATATATGTATATATAATTTACAAGAAATATTTTCAAAAAAATGCAAGCAATGTTCGCTCTCACAAAAAAAAAAAAAGAAATAAGCATTAATTAAAAACAAAAAACATATATTCCCCGTGGGGGAGGCGGGTAAGAATACCCCCTCAGTAATCCCTGCTTGTCGTAAGAGGCGACTTAAAGGGAAACCATACCTGTGATTAAAGAATATTTAACAAAATTTTCGAAAATGATTGAAAATAATTCTTAAATATATGTCAAAATCCTAAACCCTATAAGAGTACGATTCCCATTGGCTAGCTTATTCTTGATGTAATCGTGCATGTGTTAAACTTATGTACATATAAGCACGTGCACATACATACGTACATGTTTTACACCTTTATATATACATTTATATGTGAGATACATTAAACGGGTATACACGCAAGTCTTTCTCTCTCTTGCTGTCTATCTCTTTCCTACTCGTTTTCTTGCATCCCTTCCGTTTCCTTCGCTATCTCTTTCGAGCTGTCTTTCCCCTACGTAGACACACAACAACACAACACAGAAGGGTTCTCACTTGGGAACCAGTTCGCCGACGCTGTTTTTGAAAGCGTATGTGTGTGTGTAGTACATGTCATTCTGTAACTGTTACCTACGTCTCTCTTCGGCACACGTACGGACTGGTACGAAAAAGGGGAGGACGATTCTTCGTGGTAGAAAAATGAGAAAAAATGAGAAAGAGAGAGAGAGAGAGAGAGAGAGAGAGAGAGAGAGAGAGTTGAGAAGAGAACGATGTTTTAACGTGACCGTTACTCGTAAAACAACCCTAAAGAAAAAGGTAAGAAATTCAAAGACTTCCGATCATCGAACAATACGAACAAAATTTATCATGAAATATTCTTTTTTATGGTTTATTTCTTAATCATCTTCGAAATTTGTAGACAAAATAAACAACAAAAGTTGTTCTAGGTGAAATACATATTTCACATATTGTATTAGAGGATTTTGAGAATAACTATTTGTAGTTTTTATCTTTTCCCGATTTTCTTTTACGACAAAGGATTTGGTTAATCCATTCGTTATCACATTCGTTATCAGTCAGATTCGAGCTTCATAGAATAAATTTCAGAATATGATATAGTTCGAAAATTAGGATACTACTCGCGCGTATGTTTTTTTGTTCGTCTCTTCTTTTTCGGATCTTCGTCATCCTCGAAGATGATCACCAAATTGATGACGAATCTCTACACGGAAGATAATGCATGCCTAGAGAAGATGAAACGAGTAATGGAGAAATGACTATTATCGAAATTCTTTTATTTCGTCAATGTTTGTTGTTATACAATGAAATATTTGCGCTCGTAATTATTATATTTACAAACTCATATATAGGTCGTATTCTTTGTATATATAAGTTTATATCTTTGAACGAGGAGAAGTAACCAAACGGATAGACAAACGCACCAATAAAAGACTTGTTCTTTCTTCTTCTTTTTCTTCTTCTTCTTTTTCTTCATCTTCTTCTACTTTTTTCCTCTTCTTCTTCTTCTTCTTCTTCTTCTTCTTCTTCTTCTTCTTCTCTATGTCGCAAATCGGGATAATTTAATTCGAAAATTACAAAATGAAATATTATTAATAAAATTGATCGAAAAAACAACATTGTTACGCGAATATCGATCTCATTTATTTCGCTGCGATTGAACGTTGTTGGACTTTATTTTGTTTTTCCAACGTTTTTTCTTTTTTTTTTTATATATATATTATTTTATTTTATTATTTTATTATTTGATATTTTTGTTCGTTTCGTTTTATATGATACCGATATCCCTATTTTACTCGATTCGAATTTTTCTTGTATTTTTCCTTCGAACCAATCAACACCTACCTTTCCCAATACCAAAACTTTGAATCAATCACGATACGTTTATAAGCGCGAAGTTTGAAAATTTACTCGACTTGTGACAGCGTTTTCGTTTTCTTTATTATTCTCTTTAACCTTACAATATTTACATTAATTTTTCTCTAATTATTTTATTTCTTATTCGTTATTAAAGAAAAAAATATTTAAAAAATTATTATAAATATGTAGAAAGAAATGGAAAAAGTGGTAGAGAGAGAGAAAGAGAAATAAATTATGCGAACAACGAAAACGCTGTTACAGATAAATAAAGCAATTCAATTAACTTTAATTTCCAACTGTGTTTATAAATTAATTAAAAATTGTGCGAAAAAAACCCCTGTGTCTTTATGTTTTATGATTTCTTTCTTGATATATTCTTTCTTTTTGGCCCAGCTTTGTCATTTCTTTTTCTTTCCCGCGATGAATGTATTCGCGTTCAATCTTAACGAAATAGAAAAAGGTGATATTCTCAAAGAAAAAGAAATAGAGAAGAACAAATATGATATCAGCTGCATTGTGAATTTTTCGTATATTCTCTCTCTTGAAAAAAAAAAAGAACAATACCTTAAAAAAATAAAAATGAAAATAATAAAAAAAAAATCTTCTTCTCACTCTAGTGAATAAATTTTAACTTCATTTAGTTCGAAAGTGAAAGCATTTGAAAAAAATCGATCAAATAAATTTTTATTTGCCAGCCGTTAGAGTGATGAAAGAAGTTTTGAAAAAAAAAATGAGAGAGAGAGAGAGAGAGAGAGAACGAAAGAGAAGGAGAGAAAGAATGAGAAAGAGACAGAGAATGGGAGATGATGAATAGAAAAAAAAAAGACAAAGAGAATAAGAAAAAGATAGAGAGAAATAGAGAGAAAGAAATTATAAAGCAAAAAGAAAAGAGCGGGGTGATCGATCACGCGTTAAGGATCGACGATAAGAAAAATGATGTGAAGTTTAAACGCAAGGTGTGTGTCTATCGGTTTGGTTTTAGCTCTGAGCAACTGCTCTGAAAGCGGGGGCGAACCGGAAGCCATGCTGGATATCCACCACCCAGGAAGCGGCATCGACCCTCACCATCAACAGTTTCACAACTCCTATGGTAATATGAAGTTCATCATTATAATTATTAAATATTATTATTTTCGATACAATTTCTATATATTTACGTACAATAGGGTGATTTTTATTCGTCTCTTTTATAAACAATTTTCATTCGGGTGCATCCTCGATTATATTTGTCTTTTCATATTTTTTCATATTTTCAGATAAATTCGAATCAAATAAAATTATCTTCAAATTTGAATTATTTATCTTGATATCGAAGCATGCCTAAAGGTATATTTTTGTAGTTTTAATTATAAAGTTGAAACAATGAAAATTTGTAGATAATTTTAGTGCATTTTTTGTTTAAATTGAAATAGAAGAGGACGGCACTTATCAATTGCAAAATAACAACCACCATAATGTACAACACAATTTTGATCGATCATGTCAATCATGTATAAAAATTGCTCACATTTAAGAATGATAATTCAAATAGAACCCGATCAAAAATTAATGTCTCAACTTACACATACATATAATATCGATGACTCGGATGATTCTATTTCATCATATTTCTTTTGTAAAATTATGCATACAATCGTAATTATCTGTACTCCTATATCCTTTTCAATGGTCAAATTAACAAGAGACATTAAATTTCTCGTAATTCCTTTTTTATGCAAACAAAATTACAAGAATCATTTTTTTGCAAATTTCATTTCTATTCTTTATTCAAAAGATATTTATTTCTTATCGAAAGGCTAAGAAAAATTTAATTATATTAAAAAATCGATTTTTCCACATATAAGTTTTGATTTGACCTCATATAAATATTTGTTCGCGCGATTTATCAAAGTATGATTAATTAGTTCGCTACGCGTTCATAATTAATCAAAAGCTATCGTAATTTACATTGGGATTTTTATTTCGTTTAATCGAAATCTTGTTCTTTTTTTTTTTCAAATTATGCGCTTCAAAGATATATTTCCGAAGAAAATTTGATTATTTTTTAATAATCCTTTCTGTTCTTACTCGAATCGAACTGCTTCAATTTTGAATGAACATTTCTTAAAGGATATTGGAAAATCGTGAATAAGAATATTGCAAAATCATCTTTCATATCTTGTTCATTTTATTTTATCGTCATTTATTTTTCTTCTGATAAAAGAAAAAAATCGAATCATGTTTCTTGAAATAGAACTGACTCATAAAAAATACTGAATAAAAATGAAATAAAATAGGACGAAGGGTTGGTTAAGAGCTTTTGTCTTTATCTTTCTCGTCATTTACACATTATTCGTTTTAGTCGAGGATAAAGAAAAGAAGAAAAACTAAAGGGGTGAGAAATTTTGTTGGGAGATATCAAAAATGCGCGGAGAAACGAATGCAAACTAACGTTACACGCTTGTTTCAATTATTCCCATGAGTTTTTCACGTAGCTCTATTATTAATTTATCATCGTTTGTTCTCTGCATCTTCTGCTAGCAGCTCGTCGAATGCAGAAGAAAATTATCAACGCGCAAATTCAATCTACTACGTTGCAATTTATCGATCCGTAAACGCGCCAATTTCAATTCACCTTTTCTTCTATCTTTTTCTCTCTATTTCTCTCTCCGTCACTTTTTCTTTCTTGCAGCAACGTTAGTCGCGAATACAAATTATTTTTTCCTACCTAATCAACGTAGAGAGTTATTTCTTCGTATTCCAATTTAAATATTAACAAGAGAAGAAACACGTGCAATAAAAAAAAAAAACAACCAAATTAAACTTTGTTTCTTCTTCTTCAATTGACTTCTATTTAATTCTTCTAATTTGAAATAAAACAATGAAATAAGGAGAAAGATTTATAAATGTTTATCTGTGAATAAGGATTAAACTAACACCTTTGTCTTTTTGTTCGAATTTTGTTGATTTAATTATTCTGATCTAAAGTAACGTACCAAGAGGACGAATAAAGCATCGCATCGCGGTAGTAACCGTAGAATCACTTGAGTTCCCTAGTTAGACTCGAGATCGAAGGTTGTGTGTTGCAAGGCGTGGAAGAGAGAGAGAGAGAGAGAGAGAAAGAGAGAGAGAGAAGCAACTCTCCTTCCTTTCTCGAAGGCACCATTTCCAATCCCTTCGTTCGATGACTAGAAGGAAGGAGCTTTTACGTGTGTGTGTGTATGTGTGTATAACTGTGTCCCTGTATGCGAGACCAAACTTTAATTAGGTGCTCTTCGATGTTGCACAGCTTGAGATGACGCTCCACCACACACAAATACGCACCCATACATATACATATTCACAAACAGACACGTATGTATATATACCTTTGGGTTCTGTACACTAGTCGTATATTCGTCTGTATGTATATGTGCGTTACTATCTATACCATATTGCACAAGTTTGGAACCAATGGAAATGGACATTGGGTGGAAGGTGTATGCGTGTTTGAAGGTCGAATAAAGGTGGTATTAAAAAGACTTTTAGAACGAGTAGAAAGGAGGAATAGTTAGATATATAT